GGGGGCTGCTCTGGAGCGGCCCCGGCACTGTGCGGTCACCTGCCGGGCGGTCATTCCCGCGTCCCCCAGAGGCCGGCCCCGGCGCAGCTGCGACGCGACGCGCGACCCGCCGGGCGCGGGGGCACCGGAGGCGTTACTACCTTGAGGGCTCCGCGCCGCTTGTTAAGGCTCCTCCCGGGCACTCAGGGATTTATGTCTTCGGGGCACGGGCTGTCCTTCCTGGTCCCCCTCCTCTGTCCTCCCTCCCCTTCTCGACTGTTGGGCTCCTTCTCTCCACTCCCAGTTGCACAGAGTCGAGCGGCGTTATTTAATAATCCTCCTGCTCCTCCTGCCTGCGCCAGCAGAGCTGCTCTGCCTGAGCCACCTCTTCCCAGTCAGTCATGTTGTTGAGAGAGAGAGGCGGATTGGCAGCCGATCGGCGACTATTTGTGGTGAGGAAGAGACGAGCAGAGCAAGAGGAGGGCAGGGGAGGGACGTGGGGAGGCGCTTCCAAGTGTGTGAGTGCGCGGAGTGTGACTGTGTGTGGAGTGCAGAGAGCCACCTCACTGGCAGGCCGTGCTCCGGAGCTGTGAGAAGGGTGGTCAGGAGCGCGGCCTTTATAGACGCGGGTGGAAGAGTTGCCCTGGGGCGGGGGCAGCCTAGTGGGCGGTGCCGGGCCAACTGAGTGGCCAGATACCGCGCACGCATACTCTCACATTAAAGCGCGCACACCCACTGCTGGCCCGCTGCTGAGTTTTCATTTTAGGGGAAGCAATATCCGACGGTGCTGTCTTGGCTTTCCCCCGAGCCCATCCTTGTATATGTCGAGTCCAAGTGCATTGGCAGGTCAAGGACTAGAGACTAGTAGGTCTCTGAAGAGAAGCAAAGCGGGGATGCTGGAAATGCACTTGTATCTGTTTTTCTCCAAGACACTGATGTTGTCTTCTCTCCCTTCCACCTCTAAGGGAGGAAATTATGAGATTCTTTTTCCTTTTTTTTTTTTCTTGTCAGCCGCCCCATTCATATTCTGGCAAGTCTTTTCCTAACACAGTAACAAGAAAAGAAACCTGGCTTCTTTCCTTTAAGCAGGTCACGCCTCCCAGGAACCATTTGCAGCAATCAATTCTTCTGTAAGATAATGGAAGCATTGCAACTATGACTGAGTGGGACTTGTGTTCCTATATGTAAGGTCCTCAACAATACAGGCATATTGAACAGAACTAGCTACGATTTGACATCATTTGACTGATAGCCCACTAGAGAAAATTTGCCAGTTTAGAGATGGAGAAGACTTCTGATGCATGATGCTTTTGCTTACCTAATTTATTTTTCCTTGGTCTTTTTTCTTCTTGCACTGCCTCATTTCCTTTCAGGTTTGCATCGGGCCTGGAACTCTTTCCCCTCCATGCCCTTCTTTATCTCCACTCCTACATATTTATGCCTTTAGTAGCCACTACACTCCTACATATTTATGCCTTTAGTAGCCACTACAGCAAATATAGTGCATATTGTGTGTGTGTGTGTGTGTGTATGTGTTATGTAAGAACCATTATTGTTAACCCATTGTGATGGAATGTAATACCACTTTTAGGTAGGTACTACATCCCTGATATTAAGTTATGTTGGGTTTGTTCACCTGTCCTCTCCTCTCTAGCCCCTTATTTGTTTCGTGCACATATTGCAAGATCTTTGTCATCTGATGTACTTCTTTATTGGAAAACAGGAAACATGCAATCTACACCTCTTTCAAGTGTGTGTGTGTGTGTGTGTGTGTGTGTGTGTGTGTGTTTTCTGTAGTCTAGCCACAGTCTGACTTTTAAAATATGCCTATATTAGGAGTAAAAGCAAAAAGTAAAAGTACTTTTTGTGTGAATCTTAGTGATTAATGTGTACATTGGCATTGGAAACAACTTTTTAAAAATATATGACAAAAGAAAACATTTAAGAATATAGGGAGTCGGTGGCGAGGTTGACAATTCATGTTTCAAATCTCCTTCTGTGGGTGAATGACCATTGCTGTATCTACAGTATTTCATCATATGCCAACCCTTTATGTATTCTCCATATACTTTACCTTTTTCACATTGACATTGCTACCTCTAGTTCTTCCAGGTCTCATACAATGAGTTTAAAGTTCTTTTAAAACAGCTTAAGCATATGAGCAAGATTAATAGAGATGTTAATAGGAGTATGTAAAAAACAAAGAGATATTGTAAAGAAAGGGCAACAAAGTGGATGGATAAGGACCAGTGGAGAAATATCAAATATATATAAGTATGAAACATTGTAACTTCTTTGATTAAGCATAATAAAATGGATATGTAGTAACACAGGATGTTGACACTTAATGTGTACCCTATGAAACAGCTATTGATATTTCCTCAATTAGACAGGTCAGGATTTGGGAGATAAGTAGTTAACAGGAGATCAAACAAAGTCCAAGTGATACAGCTATAGCTCTCTTTAACTCTACTGTCCACATGGCTTCCCCGTTCAAAACTCCTAGATCAGTTAAAAATCTTAAAAGAGTTTCCTTTGAGCTTTTCATAATCATGAAATCAGCTGGTCTTTAATCTTCAGGAATTTTCCTTCTATTCTCCATCCCTCCTTTTATATTGCAAGAGAAGTTTATAAAATATACATTTTTTAGATGTAGACAAGAATTTATAAAGTATTAAAATACTTAGACTCAAAGATAGAGTTAGAAAACTTCCCCACAGGCTTTAATGAAAGAAATTGTCACTGCAAAGGAAATTTTGCAGAAGAGTTCTTTCTGAATATGTAGTTTATTAGGAGCTGCAAGTAGACATTTTTAAAAGTTCTGTTCCCCCTTGAATAGCAATGCTTAATCATATTGGGTAAAATTTTGGTAGTTTTTCTTGATTCTCTATTTAATTGTCACCTATAATGATAATTTGATTATGATGTATAATGAATACTTCAAAATTATATATTACATCAGATATTTCAAGGGCATTTTTGGTAACCGCAACTGATTGTAATTTTCACACTCTCAAATTGCATTATAATTAGTGAGAACCATGACAATCTGTCAATTGCCTTTTTCATTAAGGTATTAAATAAAACTAACATTTCTTGCTTATTTTCTGATACTTTTCTTTCTAAATGAAGATTAGAATTCATATGTACTACCCAGAAAGATACACAAAAATATATGACTTAAAACACGTCTGGAAAGTTGATTCATTTTAACTATTTTGTATTTTTGTTGAAAAATGAGCACGAGAAATTCCATTTATAAATTTTAATGAACAGCAGTTTAGAAGTTTAGTAAATGAATTATTCTCTTTTAAGATTGTTTAATGTTTCAAGTAGAATTTCCCGCTTTGCAACACATTCAATGATATAATTTTTGTTGTGATAGAAAAACAGAAAGCTAATGACTCTTTCCAATTTGTTCATTTTCATCTCTTGTATGCTTGCTGCTGTTTGGTTCCCAAGTGCATTTAACTGGCAAGTTCAATGAAGACTTGGCATTGCACCATTTGATGAAAGCAGAAAAATTAGGTTGCCAATTACATATGTGCCCCTTATGTGCACTGAATTCCCACTGAAGTGATGAGCCAAATTAGAAATTCCTCAGTAGTAATACCTAGAAAAGACAATTCGAACTAGGAAAGGTAAAAGATATCATTTTTATTTCCAACCTCATTACCAGTCAGATCTTAGGAAGTGAATTAACTTTTTAATACAATTACCAAACAATGTAAATTAGATTTCATTAAAAATTTAAAAATTGTCTCCATTTGGTTTTCTGTTTCCCTGGTATTTTATTGTTTTTTGCTTTGAATTCCATTATGATTATCCAATCATGCTGGAGGAAAGTAAAGATCATTTACCTCCTTCGCTTTATCCTAATTACTATGCTTTTAATGTGTTTTCCAAAGTTTATTTCTGTATTGTAGACCTGAGCTCTGAATTCACATGTTGATGATATTTGAATGTAATGTCTCTGGGAGGTAATTGAGATTAGATGAAGTCATGGGGATGGGGGGTGGCATGATAGGGATTAGTGGCTTTATAAAAAAGAAAGAAAGAAAGAAAGAAAGAAAGAAAGAAAGAAAGAAAGAAAGAAAGAAAGAAAGAAAGAA